GAGGCACGAATTCTATTTAAGGGTTGTAATTAGGAAGGAAGAAGAAAAGCTATAGAGGTAGCATATGGAAGAAAACATGGGAGGATTGATTATTTCTTTGACATATCTTCTTGTAGAGTACCTTAAGCATGTATAGGTTTTAAACTACTAACTAACTTGCGCACACATATTAACATAATAGGAATATGGTGATATAAACTAAGCAAATCTATAATTAGCAGCCATCTCCAGTGAAGCCAAGAAAACCAGTAAGGCATAGGGTGGAAAATTTTTACAGACAGCATGATAATATATTTTAAATAAGCAAATCTATAAACAATGACTGGAAGAAAACACAGTGAAGTATTAATAATGGGTGTGTTAGATGGGGAGGGTCATGATTGTTTTGGTTTTCTGTATTTACCAAGTTGTTCTTAATGAAAATGTACCATGATATCGAAATTGAAAAAACACATATAAAACTGAAAAAAAATATTGCATTCTTTTTGGCCCAATACTGGTGGGAGATTTTCAAATCAGAGAAAAAACACAACTAAATTTTAATCTCAATGTTAAAGTGGAACAGAGGTTCCTCATCCACTACCAAAAAGATAATTAGGTAAAGAAAAGTAAAAATTGAAAAGATTAAACATAAGTTAAATACAAGTTTTAAAATTATATAATGAAGTTAATACGGTTATCCACAATAACAGATGACAGTAAAGAGGGAAGCAACTTTCTGTACAGGCCCGTAAATAATGGTCCTTTTTGGAAGATAGAGTCTAAACATTCTTAAAGACAAATTCTGAACTGTTTCTGATAAGCAATCATTACTGCTCATTATCTGTATGTCTAGGAACATTGAAAAATTTTCTAAGTACTTTCCTTTGGGCAGACTCTTCAAATTGCTAGGGAAGCGGGAGATCTTATTTTATAGGTTTTAGGAAAAAGGAGTCAATTTGATAAAGTAGTTCCTTTATTTACCTAATACTGATTAAACCAATACCATGTGGAGAGCCTTATCCCAGGAAATAATGATCAAACCATTGCTACTTACTGAGCATCTCCCATGAGCTGGGCACTGGGTAGGCCCTGCAGGTACGTTCATGATCACATCTGGATTCAGGGTCAGGACAGACACTGAAACTTCCAGGGAGGGCTGTGCCTGGGCCAGGAGATGGGCCTGATTTGGGTGCAGCAGCTCATGGGAGCATCAAGTGACCCAGGCGATACAGGTCTGATAGAGAGGGTCCTACCTGTCTGGTTAATGAGAAGGGGGCTGACAGGTATATACAGAGGTCTGAGAAGCAGTGAGTCCAGCAAAGCTGTGCTTGAGGATGGTAAGTCTCATCAGGAAGGAGGGCGAGGCTGGAACAACTTGGAAGTGAGGTGTTATTACTTGTGGGACAAAGAGAGCAACAATCTACTTGATGGGGAGGTAGCAATCTACCTGAGAGATTATCAAGATAACAATTCATGAGCTTTCATGACCAGGGAGAAAGAATGATTAAAGATGCTGGCAGGGTTTCAGAACAAGGGGAGAAGAATGGTACTTCTGATAAAAATGGGTCCCTGTAAACCAATGGGGCCAACCTTGGAAAGAGGGTTAGTTGAATTTTAGAAAAAGTGAGTTTAACGTGGTGAGACTTCCAAGTAGAATCATCTAGTGAGCAGCTAGAGATAAAAAACTGTAGTTGGGAGTTGAGAATGAAGCCAAGTGTATGGATTTCAGAGAAATGACAGTGTGTATTCAAATTAATTTCTCACAAATTACCCTTTGAAAGTTGGAAGGTATCAGTAGTTCCTAAAATCACCAGATATTGGAGTTTATTGCTCATGAGAGAAAACACATCACACACCAACATCAAAACTACATTTTATAAAGTCCTATTTTGAAAAACTGAGGTGACCACCAATTGTTTTATAACCGTATTTAACAAACTAGAAACTGCATGGACATTGGTTTATTTTAGGAATTTTCTGCCACTTTCATTTTGCTCTAAATTCAGGAGTGGACACTCACAGAGAAAGAATACACATCTTAACTAAATTCAGTTGCTCTCTTCTGCTATTTCTGTCTTTATGCATTTGGGTTATTTCCATTAAAGCAAGCTGTACTTTTAGATGAGGAAAAGGGCCTCTGCTAAAATCCAGGCCAGACACTCAAGTTCCAAGCTGTGGTGTTCAGATTTGGGTAAACATACCCTCCACACTGGCAATGATTAAAAGCCTCTTTGAGAAGGCCCATTTAAGGATGTTTATAGCTCTTTTCTACAAACTTGGCCCACTCAGCAGCAGGTTGGAGCTGTGAGGTTTGCAGGATTTTTCCAAGTTCCTTCACAAGTAAGTGTATGTTAGAACGTCCCTGTAGCCTATTGTTCCTTGCTCCTGACTCAAGGGCACCAGAGAAATGACCGTATATACTGAAATTAATTTCTCACAAATGAGCTTTGTAAAATTAGAATGCATCAGAAGCTCCTAGCTTACTGGATCTGGAGGGGAAGTGGTTACCACTTCAGTGGTTAGTACTGGGGGAGGATCATTTCATTCCCACCTTCAATGCCCCCATTCACATGGTTATACTGTGGTTTATGTTTAAGAATCACATACATTACAAGTGATAACTACCTAGTAAAGCTAAGGGGAAGAATGCCTGAATTTGGAGAAGTCTGCAACACTACAGAGACAAATTTAAAATGACAGGTTAAACACTGCACTATTGTGGAGTTCAGCAAAGCCTCTGGGGGCTGAGTCACTCTCAAGAGCTGTGGTTTCTGAAGAACAAGTTTGGTCTTCAGCTAATGTCTGCAGAGGTGCTTTATGTTCTGAAATTACACACCAAGCTTGTTTTATGAGTATGAGCATGTAATATGAGCATTTTCCTGAAGGACACTCATAGTTTCTATTAGGTTCTCAAATGGGACCAAGACCAAAATAAGGTTAAGAACTATTGTTTATCCATGGGGATAAAGCCATTGCTAGTGTGTACAGCCCTCTA